TAGTAGTAGTAGTAGTAGTAGTAGTAGTAGTAGTAGTAGTAGTAGTAGTAGTAGTAGAAGAAGTAGTCGATCTCCTAGTAAAGATCATCACTTGGTGTGGTATACCTAGTTTGCATCTTAACTTCTTATGCAGAGATACGTATGTGCGCGCGTGTGTATGCGTGTGTGTGTACATACACAAATGTATATCTGGATAACTGTACAGACGCTTCTAATACAATACTTGCGTGCGACATATACTCATTTTTAGCGCGGAAATCACTGCAAACCTCGGGTGAAATACTAGTCACAGTTAACATTTGTCTATATTCCCCTTCAAGCTTTTCACATTGTAGAAAAGGTGCAGATGCCGAGACGCCACATTCACTCTGCTCTTTGAAAAGTCAATTATTTCTGAAAATGCTTTGTGGCTTGTGCAATCATTTCGACACTTTATGCTTGAGGTATGTAAGAATATCAATTGAAGTTCGTGTTTCAGATAACACACACACACACACACATACACGCACATACAAACACACACAGGTTTTTTTTTTTGCTACATTTTTATTGGTAAGCATTATTGCCATTTACTAACAAATAAAGTTAAAATTCCGAAGTTGTGCTTGGTAATACATGTATGTTTTATTGGTTACGCTTGGGATAGCACCGGAAAGCGATTTATGGTTTGCATTAAGTTGCATACACTTTGTATTTCTGTCAGATCGTATCATAACTACATCTGATATATTTTCATTGACATGGGCAATAAACTCATAAAATAATTTATACCACATTACATGACAGCATCAATTATCGCCACAAAAGTATAAACACCAGGAAAATAGAACAAACTTATTTAGATCAAAGGATCTATGAACTATTATCATTTTTATCATTATTTCATCATCGTCATCATCATCATCATCATCATCATTATTATTATTATTATTATTATTATTATTATTATTATTATTATTATTATTATTATTATTGGTGTTGTTATTATTATTATTATTATTATTATTATTATTAGTAGTAGTAGTAGTAGTAGTAGTAGTAGTAGTAGTAGTAGTAGTAGTAGCAGTAGTAGTGGCATCTGTATTTATATTGTGGTAGTAGTAGAAGTAGTAGTAGTAGTGGTATCTGTATTTCTGTTGTTAGCTTAAATACAACTTATTGCTTTGAAAGTAATATATTTGGAAAAAGGATAGGAAACGACTTAACAAGAACATAGCAGTTCCTGTCCCTTTGTGTGTATGTGTTTGTGTGTGTGTGTGTGTGTGTGTGTTTGTGTTTGTGTGTGTGTGTTTTTGTGTGTGTGTTATGTGGGGGAGAAATAGTATAAGAGGTTTGGTAAGGAAAATTGGAATTAGTTCTCAAAAGAGAAACTATTAGTTAACTTAGTATAAAGTTTTGAAAAGTAAATCCAATATTTATCAACGGCGGATACAGAAACATTTCCTGGGTTTAAGATGGGGCGTAAACAAGCAGACATTTCCAACTTGAGCTAACTTTAAAGGCGGCTTACTCTAGGGAACCTTTAGATTGTTTGGCGCTCATTGGAGTTGGAGGGGGAGCAAATCATCAGATACGCCACGAAGATTAGTATTTACATGAATATATAGGGCTCCTAAAATAACAGAATATTTCAATACAAATTTACTAGTGAACATTTATATAAAAATAATCGTCTCAAAAATACGTAACAAAAACGGTCTTTATTACATACATGCATACATACATACATACATACATACATACATACATACATACATACATACATACATACATACATACATACATACATACATACATACATACATACATACATACATACATACATACATACATACATACATACATACATACATACATACATACATACATACATACATACATACATACATACATACATACATACATACATACATACATACATACATACATACATACATACATACATACATACATACATACATACATACATATAAAAATGTTAAACTAGTTCTTCATCAAAACGTTAAGTTTTTCTAAAATAATTTTAAACATCAGTAATATGGTTCTGTATTCAACCCATGAAAGGTATTCCTTTCTGCAGAAAATGGCATGTCAATTAAGTCATCAGCAAACAGATTTTACATTGATTTTTACCTCATCGGCAATATCATTTACATCTACCAACAATAGCATAGGCCGTAAAACTGATCATTGGGATACACCGGCAGAGCATTCTAAAACTTGTGAAAGTTTTGGAGTTATATATACAAATCAATTGATAGATGAATCCTGGATGCTATTTGTGTAAAATATTTGCAAACTGCGTATATGTTAGGAAACAAATCTTCAAAAATCTGAACAATACAAGCAAACAGTGACATAGATCTACAATTATGCACATTTGGCCAATTATTATTATTGTTATCGTTATTATTATTATTATTATTATTATTATTATTATTATTATTATTATTATTATTATTATTATTATTAGTAGTAGTAGTAGTAGTAGTAGTAGTAGTAGTAGTATAAGTCACATAATAAGGTTATAAATGACTTGATTTTGCCTTGAATATTATTTCATTTATTCGTTGTGCAAGCGTACAACGTTATCTAGGGTGAATCACTTGCCACCAGGTAAAGTGATTTCGAAATTAAGTGCGATGGAAAATCACGGGTAAGCATGGCATACATGATGATTTGACCATAACTATTATTCACTCCTATGGATTTAAGCTTGATAATATCGTACTGAGACACAAGTCATTTTTTATTTTGTCGGTGGTGTGCGTACCTTCCACCATCGTCACATGTCATAGGGGTAAGTGTCAAAACTTTGTTTAATTTGATTTGTAAAACCTTTTCTCGGTTTTATGTTATGTCGGGCGATGAAGCTTTGTTACATTGCGTGCTTTATTATTATCATTTTAGTAATAAAGTTTTCTTTTGTTTTAGCCTATTGTAGGCCTGTTGGATCCTATTGGATATTAGTGGACACTATGAGAGCTTAGTTGACACTATGGTAGTCGTTTGTAGCCTATTGGATACTATTGTAGCCTATTGGATACTAGTGACCTTTATGGGAGTAATTGGACATTATTGGGGCTGACGATGTCTATTGGGAGATTCAGTGTCCGATAAGAGCTGACTATAATTATCCATGGTTGGATTGGATGTAGCTATTGGATGTTTTATTGCAGCATGCGGTCTACGTCTGTGTATATGAATACATGTATGTATGTGAATGAATACACATAATACATATAAGGGATCCGAGAAGTGTACGAACTTGGATCTATCAAAAAGGTTCTGGTGAAACTGCAGAGTTCCGGTTGATATAATGAATAAACTGTAGAGTGACAGTTTGACAAGTGAATGACTATTCCAGTTTACAGTGATGTGTGTTCTTCTGTGTATTTTGTTGAACGCAGTATTGTTTAGTCGAAACAACAGTAATAACATTCTGAGTATTGCTCATATTCTTTTGTCTGTTCTACATCAAGAGGCTACGTGAATCTCAACGCTTAATGTGTTAGAAGAGATCACATGAATCTCATTTTATATGATACATGGCATATTTGGACTCATCATTTTAGGTTACATGCCAATTAATCATATTTTTGTACTTTTTCTTTCTCTATCATTTCATGAGTGTATATATGATAAATTGCAACAATTGTATGATAGGAGTGTGAGATTCATTGTATTTGTTTTATATTCACACAAACAGACACACGCACGCACACACACAAACAGACACACACACACACACACACACACACACACACACACACATATATATATATATATATATATATATATATATATATATATATATATATATATATATATATATTTATATATATATATATATATATATATATATATATATATATATATATATATATATATATATATATATATATATATATATATATATATATATATATATATATTTCATTTTATAAATTCCAATCTTTCATCACCTGTTGCTTTGTGTTATTCATTTAATCCAAGAGGAGAAAACCCACTCGGTTTCAATTCTGCTATTATTATTATTATTATTATTATTATTATTATTATTATTATTATTATTATTATTATTATTATTATTATTATTATTATTATTATTATTAATGGTTGTAGTAATAGTAGTAGGGCTATTGAAGTACCTGAGGTGGAGGCAATTGGGGCAGCATTGTTCTTGAATGTGTACGCATCCATTCTCTATAAATATTAAGTCGATATTTGAACTAAGACCAAAAATTCAAATCAAGTAACTTTTATTATTATTATTATTATTATTATTATTATTATTATTATTATTATTATTATTATTATTATTATTATTATTATTATTATTATTATTATTGTTGTTGTTGTTGTTGTTGTTGTTTTTGTTGTTGTTGTTGTTGTGAGTCAAATTAACGTTTTGACAAGTTTATTATGTTTTTATGTGTTTTATGAAAATGTCTCAGTGCAAAATACGCACATATTCCATCCATTCTTTCGGTATTTTGACGTCATCATGAAAAACATAACATCCATATAGACTTTGCAAGTGGACACATTTAATTCGTTATCGTTGGCAAATATTTCTGGTACAATTTATTACAAGAGAAAAAATCAAAATTTCGATATCTCCCATCAAATACTCTATACTGACTTTCTTGGAATGGAAAATGTAATGTTTGCATGTACTAAACTACAACCATCTTTTTTCTAATTACTTGTTTATTATCTTGTACATAGTTTGGGATCCACTAAGACAATACGAACCTCCTATAAAATAACGTGCATTCTCTTTACCGAGCCAAAATCAGTTTGGCTCTTAGCTATATTTCATAACTAAAAAGGTTAGATTTTAGAAATAGGCGGAGGAAAATCTTATGCAAATAAATGTTACCTTCTCACATTACAACCCTTCTCTGTGAAATATTTGCAAAACAATCCCAGGATTCCAAACAAACGTTACTTCCGTCCATTTTTAACTCTTTGCACTTTTTCGGTGTCACCGTTCCGTTGGCCTAGTGGTCAGAGCTTCCGCCTCAGATGCGGGTGGTCGTGGGTTCGATCCCCGGCCAAGTCATACCAAAGACTTATAAAAATGGTACGAACAGCTTTCTCGCTTGGCGCTCAGCATTAAGAGGTTAGTGTTAGGGCTGGTTGGCCTGATGTCAGAATAGTGTGGCTGAGTTGGTTTACGTGATACATGTCTGCATCATGATTCCCCAGTGCTAGCCATCACTATAAACTGTCGCACTGCAGGCATCTTAGCGATATGACTGGAAAATTGTTAAACTGCATTAAAAGTCCAAATCTCTCTCTCTCTCTCTCTCTCTCTCTCTCTCTCTCTCTCTCTCTCTCTCTCTCTCTCTCTCTCTCTCTCTCTCTCTCTCTCTCTCTCTCTCTCTCTCTCTCTCTCTCACACACACACACACACACACACACAGACACACACACACTGATTAGGGATCATTCTCAAGGAAACTTTAATTTTTTTCTGGTGTTCTCGCCTTTTATCAAATTTTTTTTGTCTCTTGAGCAGTCTTATTGCCCGTTACCAGTTTATCTTGCCCTTCTGTGGATTAATTGTCTTTTGTTGCGTTTTTTTTTTCAGCCTTAAGGGCAGTGTGTTCCTGCTGTAGCGTATACACAGATCCTATAAATGTGAATATAATAAAAAAATATGCAAATAGAGAATCCTTAAAAAGAGTTAATCAATGATATTGAAACATATAAAGTAAGCGAGAAATGCAAGGCGACCCAAAATATAGTCATTCAACTGTATTCCCAGAAGAACTAATGGAAAAGCGTCATTTCACGATTGTACAAGATCATTCCTGAACGGTAACGCAATTTCCAAGACACTATGAAAATTATATTTACAGCTCGGATCTAGCGAAATTTCGACTAATTGATAAAAAAAAATAATGAGTAATACGTTAAAGTTTTCATGACAAAGAATTGCAGTGAAATTCTCTCACTTAGCATGTGCAAATAATTGTAAAAATCACCATGCTCTTGTCCCAAGTAATACAGTCTTTGGAGATATGGGTGACTTTAGTGTTAATGAGATTCAAACTTTGTACAAAATAGAACGCTAAAATGAGGAAAGGAATAGGCCCGTGACCGTAATTTAGCCTTTGCATGTAACGTATTACGCTCAAACTTTGGCTTATTCTCTGCGTAATCACTGTTTCCGCAATATCTAAAGTAATGTGTGTGTATGTGTGTATGTGTGTGTGTGTGTGTGTGTGTGTGTGTGTGTGTGTGTGTGCCATTTCTGTGATGAAAATGATAACCTGGCTTTGTCATAAAAGGGCTATGCGTGTGGATTCTGAATAATGACCAAGTTATAAAAGTATACATACAAAATAATTAATGGGTGTATTTTGTAAATCGAAGCGACAATATTTACGTATAACATAAGCTTTAGGAATCTTTGGGCAAATACACAAAAATGTTGGTGACAATTTTTAAGTTTAAAAAATGTCTAATGAAGTAAGAAATGAAATAATAATCCTTCCACAAAAGAAACAGAAAATTTTAGGACTGTTTGATTTATATTTGTTGACTGAATATCAACTAAAATATGTCGTCTGCTTTGAGAAGAAATACACAAAATGGGAAGAAGTTGTCATAATTACATTTATATGTAAGATGTCACTTTTAGCACTTTTTCTTAAAGCCTTAATTGTTCCGTGTGTTTGTTTTAAAACAAGGCTGTGACGGTAATCGGGTCGTGATAAAAGAACAGATAATATTATATCAAACTTAAGTCTAAACCAGGTCTTAGAAGAAAAACTCCAGGCACGGCTGCTCTGGTCAAATTGGTTTTGCATAACAAAGCACATTTCGTGATGTGTTCGTAGTGTTCGGGTAACTTGAGCAGACCAAGGGAAGTAATTGGAATGTTTCCAAGGTACGAAGCATTCCATATGTGCAGGCATTTTTATCGAAATAAAGAAAGAAGCAGACGATGAACAAGCATCATAGGTATTGGTGGTGGTTGTAGCAATTTCTATTTGTATGTACTGTACAATATTTGGGCGATCAAATATAATCAAAACTACATTTTAGTAGATTTTGTAGTGAACCCAAAACAGTAACAGTTGACTTACGTCCGTTGCAAGATAGTGAACGGTCTGTAGGGTATTACATTGCCATTTCTGACCTATTTAAAAATGAAATCCTTGTCTACTACACTATTGTGTGTGTATTTAGATATAGCCTTTGTAGTGTATGCATTATAACTTTGCAATGAAGCAGTAAACTCGTGCATTGGATAACGGACACTGCACAAATATACTAACATTTGGTTTCAAGCATTAAATATCAATGCACTCAACAAATCTCATTCCTGGAGAGCGACTACTCTGCCTGTACGGTGTGTATACGTGTTTCCGTCAGTGCAGGTATTGCCTGTTGGCAAAGATGTACGGATGAATGGATCCACGGTTATCTTTTTTACCTATCAGGGGATTATGAGATGATTAAATAGCAACCTTTTTGTATTATACTCAATTTGTCTTTTATTAAAATTCCTGTACCCACCCTAAGCTTGAAGTATACGTCGAATGCTCAAACGCTTCCATGAATTCATTTTGGTATATAATGTGTGGTTTTGGCCTCGGCTCTGAGGCTCAAACTTTGCCCAGAGTCACTCATTTCAGCCAATCCCAATCTGACAGAACTGCAGAATTTTCCCACGTGCTGCTCAGTGTCGTGTGCACTTCCTGGGTCGACCAGACATGCAGTGAGAGATAGCGTATCTAAGTAGAACACTGTTTGCATGTGGCCATATTTTATCTGAAAATGTGCGACCCATCTTTGACGTCGCCTAAGTACATTGACATTATACCGTAATGAAATTAGAGTTTTAAAGAGAACCAAGCATTTCCAAATGAAATATCGAGACATGGACAGCCTTATCGTTTATTTTGGTCAGAAAATGAGAATATTTTTTTTACGATCCTCACTGTTTCTATAGTTGGTGTGTTCCCTCCCTGCAAGACTTGTGAAACACATGACCTAGTCAAATAGATTTACATAAAAATGCATATGCCTGTAAATCTATTTCCTTAAGAGTAATAAACTGCGATGAAATATGCAGCTCTTATAAATGCCTTGACCAGTTAGTAAATTAAGCTGGTACGTTTGAAATCAAAAGTATTTTATTTTTTTTTCCTGGCGCTTATCCGTGTCAGCCAGATATGCTGTGCAATGAATGCACTTCGGGTAGGATTACGGGGTCCCTAAAGGTTTGCAAATAATATATGTTTTGCTATGAACTACTCCATTACGCATTAAATTGTCATCGATCTTTACCTTGTCGTTAACAGTGATAAACAGAAAACATAATCGAGGAAACATTAATAACATTTAAGAAAATACTCTTTACACAACTTTGTATGTCAATTTCCCTTTTACAAAACAAATGATACTGATATTACCCGATAAAGGTACAATAATAGTTAAATATTTCAAATGCAACAATTTTTCAAGATAAGAAAAATGGACAGAAATCAAAAGCGTGGTGGGTGGGGTGGGATGGGGTATTGATTTTGAAAGAAAATAGAACTTTAAAACTTAAGTTTGAAAGGTCAATCTTTCGACAAGGCAGGTCTTTGATATCCATTTAAAGATATTTAAAAAAGGCTGTCTTTGATAAATTGTTAAAGTACAAAAAATGTGAAGGAAAAATGTCTTCGTCCTGTAATGTTTACATGCCAAGTATGGATGTACATAGGTATATATGTATACATGTATACATGTCATTTAGTTCATCCTTTTCTTCGACAGATAAGCAAATTACTTTATTGATTGAATACTTATCTATTACATACATACATACATACATACATACATACATACATACATACATACATACATACATACATACATACATACATACATACATACATACATACATACATACATACATACATACATACATACATACATACATACATACATACATACATACATACATACATACGAACGAACGTACCCACGTACCTACAGTCAGCCAGGCAAATTGACAGCTCAAAAGTAAATATTCGTTGCACAAAAAAGCAATAATTCATGTCGAAGTATAATAACCTTGGTTGCCTTAGAAAAGAAAACAAGTTTTTACATAATTGTCTTAAGATGGTGTATCTATCATTCTTACGTCCAGTTCATCAGAATAACTCGGGTTGCCCATCAGAGCCTCGTTGTATGCAGATGTCTATAAACCACTCGTGTTATCTGAGATATCATAACATAAACAAACGACAATGTCTTTAGACGACCCATCTGCTTCGAAAATCAGCAAAAAGTGTACATTAGAGGAATGAGTTTAAAAAAGTGAGTATTGGAGTATTTTGATTTTATGAATGGAGCATTGGAGGATTATATTTTGACAGCTTGAAATTTGCTAATATATATATATATATATATATATATATATATATATATATATATATATATATATATATATATATATATATATATATATATATATATATATATATATATATATATATAATGTGTGTGTGTGTGAAAGAGAGATATGTTAAAATTAAATATACCTTTCAAAAACAGATCATCAACCAGCGTATAGCCGAATTGTGTACTCCTCAAACAGTAAGCGTAGATTTTTCTTCTGGAGAGGAAAAAGGCGTTTAACAATAACTATCAGAAATCATTTCGCGAGGTTGTGAAAAAGACGATATATCACATCATCACATCATCGCTTGGCTTTGAAAAATTACCGTTCATGTTTATTTTTGTGGCTGTTATGACTGTTTTTGTGTGAAATGAAAGTAGTTGTGTCTTGTGCTTGTAAATAATATAATATTTGATGAAATTTTTTATTTTATTTACTTATTTGTTTATTTATTTATTTGATCTTTAACAATTTTTTTTTGTTGCTTTATGCCTTTTCTAAACAAAATGTGCTAATTTTAGTAGCATTAAGTCCGATAACTGGCTTGAATAAATCAGCTAGTTCTGCATAAAGATTTACCACCACCCCTATAAAACTATGATAAGTTCCTATATGAAAAAAATCCCCTTAAGATTGATAAATGTCAGTCTTGTTTG